TTTAATGAGGCACATTATCTTACATGGACATCCAAGGGGGTGTGTTATGAATAGTTTGTACATGATACTACTTTGGATACTACATTGGATACTACATTGGATACTAAATTGGATGCTACATTGGATGCCCATGTTGTGAATAACTTAAAGATTGAATTCCCTATTTTATGTCCATCATCTTTACTTTTTATGCCTATAAAAGGCCATGTAATTGCAATGAAAAATCACACCAAAGTGAAAGAAGAAAACACTTCTCCATTCTCTCTATCTCTTCTTGTTTACATTTTACTGCATTCTTTTATTTTATAACAGTAATGATATTATTTTATTGAATAAATTAATTTTTTTACTTCTCATTCAGCTTCGTCAAAGAAGTTAAAATTTTTAGCTTCTTCCCAAAGCAAAAAAAAAAAAAATGTTTCTCCTTCTGTTCAAAACCAAAGTTTGATTTTGCCCATGCTAATTTTTAAAAAAGTACTTTTTTGTGGCTCTAAAACGAGTATTATATATTGATGGGAACCACAGACAGTGGGATGAACTACTTGCTAATATTTTTATGTGCTAAATGTTTTTGTTAGAATACTAAATTGATGGTGGCCTGGCCGGTGGGTGAACATTACATAAGAATATAAAAGGACGGTTTAAATAATTCTGGCTACAAAGTCAAGTTAAGAAATTATATTGGATGTTCACACTTATGTCTTCCATTCTGTATATATATACAGGTTTAGTAAAGTAAAGATCTCACTGCACCTATATATCATCCTCTCCATTTACATAGATTGTTGCTTAATTACTAAAAAATGGCAGATGTAGCACTGCAATTTGTAGTGGAGACCCTGGTGCCGATTATAATTGAAAATTGGAAGCTAATTGGTGGTGCAAAAGAAGAATCTGCACATCTATTGGGAGAGCTTAATCGGTTAAAGGCCTTTCTACAGGATGCTGCAAAATATCGTCAAAGCAACAGCGAACAGTGGAAATACTTTATCAAAGAAGTTCAAGTTATGGTATATAAAGCTGAGGGTCTTATTGATAAGCTCCTGGTTAAGGCGAAGCTGCACCAAGAGAAAAATATAATTGTGCAAAACTTGGATGCTAAGTATGCCAAAACCGTTTGGGATCTTGCAAAAGAGATTAGAGACGCCCTTGAACAAGTGAAGAAAATTCGTGAAGAAAATCCAGAGGCGTTTCAGGCTAAGCCAATGCTTGATGATCAGCCGGATATCGTTGCCCCCGGGCCACAGGTATGTATAAAATTATTATTTCTAACTTGTTATGATCTCTAGCTCGATCACGCAATACTCTACCCTCTCGTGACCATACTTGCGGAATCATGATGTTGTTATTGTTGATCTCAACGTTAGTTACGAGGGTGTTTGTCTAAGCTTATAAGCTTGTCAAACTAGCTTATAAGTACTTTTCGGCTTATCTTTAAAAGTGTTTATAAGTCAAAAATAAGCCAAAAGCTATAAGCTAGTCACCTCCAACTTATGAATTTTTAGCTTATAAGCCCTTTAAGTTTGACCAAAATTTTTACTATTTTAATTTTAAAATATTCTATTTTAGAACAAAACTCCAACATTGATACTCATGGCCTCAAGTATTTTTTTCAGCCTAATCCGACGACACCTCTTCAAGTCTTCAATTCTCATTGACTATTTAAGATAAATAAATTCTCTATTTCTTTGCATATTTATATGTATGTGATTGTGTATTAATCTTTGAACCTCATGTAATAAATGAGGACATATGAAAACATTGTTTGTTTCTCTTCAAATATTTTTTCCTATTTAGGTTATTTTTTACTGAGAAACTTTTGTCAATTTATTAATTATTACTATAACCTATGATTATATGCTTATCATAAAATAAATTATATTTATCGTAAAAATTATCTTATCTAAGCACGGTTGTATTTAAAATAAAATAAAAAATAGAATATTTTGTATTTGAATCGATTTGGAATATACAATTTTAAAGAATTTACGCCCGTGTAAGTGTAAATAGTTCTAAGGTTATTTGAGTTATTTTAACAGAAAAAAGCTTATCGGCACTTTTTTTTATCAAATACTGCAGCAACTTATTATCAATTTTAGCACTTGTACCCAAACACGTAATTGCTTATTTATTAAATCAGTTTTAGCACATAAAATTATTTTTCAACACCTAATGCTTATCAGCTACTTCAAATCAGCTAATCCAAACGGGCTCTATATATGATTGTCAGCCTATTTTATATTTTCTTTATAACTTTACTTTATATATATATATGGAGAAATAGCTTCCTGACCACTTAAACTTGTAGGGCTTTTGAAAGCCGATACACAAACTTTAGTCTTTCTCATTTAAACACTCAAACTCGTGAAACCTATAACTAATAAACACCTTTGACAATTGACTATGCTTATGTGGCGGTAGCTTATCTTACGTGGACATAGTGCGTACAAGTCATATTCAAATGGCGCGTGTGTGCCGATTTCCATAATAGAAACACCCCCCCCCCCGATATCACCTGCTACACAGCACCCCTGTATCTTCGCACCATCCCCAACGACCAGAAACAAGGCTTCACCCATAAACCACAGCAATGACCAAACTAACCCAACCGGTCCCTCCTCCCCATCTACGCCTAACAGTGCC